ATCCCCCGGGCTGCACGAATTCGATGTCTCCCAGGAGAGCGGCCCGAGATCAGCTCATTGGAGGGTTCATGGAGTTTCTAGTGAGTATGCACCCCATCTGCTAGTCTTGTGGTTGAACAATCGATCGACAGCTATCTCATGCACTATGTATCAAGAAGATCCATCGCATTCTATGCAAGCCCCAGTCGGCTTCTTGGGGAATATCTTCTGGGTTTCCTATGCTGTGGTCGTATTCCGCCGTTTCCTCGCAAAAATTTCAAGGTATCGGTCCTCTGTCATAGCTTTGTCATGGATACACGCTGGAACAGCTTCCCCAAAACTTCATACACGCGAGCTGCTCCACCTCACCGCTATCTCCACCTCAACATACCTCGCAGCCCCTCTCATCGCCCGGAATGTTCCAACCCTCTACGTCTACTCTTCACCAACATCGACTTCTGCCAGTTGTTTGCCGTGTACCTAGGCGGCAACTACGAGGACCTCTAGTCTTTTGTACGACGAAGCGCCAGCGACAATAGAAACCTATTGTTGACATCTTCCATATGGCCGTTCACACCTCTCCTTTCCCTTGTCGGATGAAACCTGCAGCATCGTTCTTAATCCATACACACACATATGCCAATAGGGTCGCCGTCCAAAGACTCCCTCGCTTCGGAGTTTTCTCTCATGTTTGGATTCAGCCTCTGGACTCGTTCCCCCCTCCACTTGTGTCCATTGGCGTTGACGGTAGAGATGGCTACTGGGACCTACTTTTCTGCTGTGGAATCAACATCCCGGTTCATCCTTCGACTGCTATTTATATATTCCTCTATTCGAAGTCGTCTCTCCGCATGTGGACCCGGCGTTCGGACTTCGTTGGCTTTCCACTTGGGTTGAGAGTTGCCGAAGGATAGGATCAGTCACATATCTCTCTATATCTCAGCCTCTTCAATGTGATTGGTACTAGACGATGAAACATGCGTGTCGTCGCAGTGGAATCCATCCGCCCTACCGCACATGCGCAGGGGTCTGACTTCTCCGCACAGCGGGCCCTCGGGGTTCTGTCAGACGTCGCCTTAGGTATGCACCTGCCTCCCCATGCTGATCTTGTGGTTGACGAAGCGACCTATCACTAGCTCTTGAGCTGATATCTCAGCATTTAAGACTACGCATCGCAGGGTTCTGCAAAACCCACCAAGTTGCTCCTCGTAGATTTGCAGGCTTTTCTGTGATGTGGTCGTCGGATTTCTCTCATGTCTTTCGAGGTGTCGACCCCTTTGACAAGTTCAGTTGAATCAACTCACGACCTTTTTTATCTCCACTTGGACCGACTGCAACTCGCGACTCCTTCCAACGTCACCTTGAACCCTTTCTCGCCATCTACCCAGATCCCACTCCGTCGCTCCCACCTCTCCTCAACCGCCACCTCCCTTCACTTGCTGATAGACACCATCGACTACTTCAGGCTTGGACGGAAAGCCCACGCTACTTGCTCTTCTCGTCGGATCGACGATTTTTTCAACATCGTTATCATATCCCAAGATTGTGCAATGGAGGAGCTCGGGAGAAACTCATAGATAAACTATGCGGCGAGATCGGGGATGGCGCTTGGGAGACAAATACTTCGGACTGTAAAGGTAGAGTACTAGTTATAATTGAATGGGACGGTAATTACAGAACTGTTGAAATGCGAAGGAACGTTCACGAGATGTCTGAACCACCGTGGGATGTGTTTGAAATTGATCAACAACTTGACCATCGCCCTTGACGTCGACCTCGCGCTGGCCAAACATCGGCCAGTACACAACTGTTACGTTCTTGCTTGATCTTTCCATTTGAACGGATCGAAACTGTCGATATCCCTGGAACTACGACGAACTACTTATTGCTCTGTTTGGCCTCTCTCGAAGCTGGCGATCCGAGGGCAAGCCCTGAGCCTGCTTCCTCGAGCTCTGGGCTGGAGAACTAAGGAGGTGCGTTTTCTTTCTTCCTCCAGGCTCACCTTCAGATATTGATTCTCTGCCTGCAGATCATATGCACTGCGCTACTCAGTGGTAGTCAGTCTACGCCTGTCTACCCGCCACGACTTTCAGCTTGGGATTGGCGGGTCCCTTAAACGGCTTGCTACAGCTA